ATAGTTGTGTTGCTAGTTGACCATTAACGTGTACACTATGTCAGTAAATCATTAATACAAGAAGCAGATGTGACAATTTCTGAGATGTCCTTTATTTTGAGTTCACTGGGATATCTAGTCGACATATAAATGAAAATATCAAATAACATCGTAACATTTAAATGTCTAGAATGAAGGCAACAGCAAGAGTCTTATTCTTCTCTTGAAGAAGTTTTAGAATAAATTCTGCTTAATATAAATATAAAAAAGCAGGACAATTATTGTCCATCGAAATTCTAACAGATCAGATTGTTGGTAGATCTGGTGTCCTGGACTACATATATATTTTCAATGAAGAAATTCCGCTTCTTTTTAATACCAATGACCAATCACAAGATTTGAAAATTTCTGATTTCCATTTTTATTCAAAAAGCAATTGTCTTTGTTGTCTATGATTTCAAAAAGTTTTTTCTTTAATTAACCTTGGGGAATGTATAAAGCCCAGAAAAGTCATAAGTTTTGATACTATTGATTTGAGGGGGAGGGGGGGGTGTTACATGTATTTTATATTTTCGAAGAGTTGTTTGGAATTTTTGAGAATGCACATTTGATTTATATCACTTCTTGAATATGTTCTAGAACTGTACGTCTGAAATTTCTCCATCATTTCAGTTAATATTTTAGTGAGGAATAAAAATAGGGGTTTCTACATCTAGATCCTTTACTGATCTTTGTTTGTAAGGGTTTAAGTATTTAATGCTTGTGCTCTGTATAAAATAATGATGATTAAAGGAAGAGAGATAAAAGAATTCTCAACAGTAAATATTTTATTTGATCTTGAATCTTATCAGCTTTACATCTACTCGGAAATTCCCCATGGGTCTCTATCTCAATTACAAAATATGATTGTCGCCCGGAAGAGAACTTAATTGAGTTTTTTTTTTTTTTGTGAATTAAATAATTTAAAATACATAGGTTTTCAGTCATGCAGTTTATTTAGATGCATCTATAATATTATCAAAAATTGATTTCTCCATGTAAATCGACCCGAGAGAGGCCTTCGAACATCACGTAGCAATCAAATGTTGATGTATTATTAAAGTTCTACTAATTTCAAATAATTATAGACATAAAGTGATAAGCTATATTAAGCTGAAAAATTGTGATATGGATCGTTCATCAGTTCGACGAAAATACAAAATAGGCTGGGAATTCTAGTTTTTGTTTGTTCTTTAAACCTTTTGCTTATAAATAAATGAATGCATAAAAAAATTGACATATTTTTAAATATATACATTTGTGGTATCTCTCTATTATATAAACATGCAGAGAGCAAATATCTTCATACCTGTAAGAAGTTTTTCAAAGGTCAAAGGTCATTACGTGACCTAATCACACAGCGCAGTGATATGTACATAAAAAGACTTACTCCACTAAGCAATATAGCATGTTTTTCATGCATAAAAATGTACAAAATACGCAAGTAAAATAATAATCATTTTATTTACAATGTAAACGAGTATTTAATACAGTTCTTGATCGATTTTACATAGAGAATAGAAAACTACGTGTTATAAGTTTCATGTCTGAGCTGCATAGTCTCAACGTTTACCCTTATTTTTCTCGCAGACCTCTGAATGTTATAATTTTTTTTCCATTAAACTTTACTCACAATAAATTTGAAAATCTGTTGAAAAATATCAATGTAATGCAATCACGCCACAAACAGCTGAAAAACACTGCACTTTGGAAGATCGGTAGGCACACCTCGATCATCGAGATCTTTGTAAGCTGTCGCCAGTGTCTCCATGTCAATATAATAAATTAATAAATATGCCTTACTGAAATCGTAGATTGTATGTTTTTGATCAAATTTCGTACTTGATTTCAAGTTATCCGGTCCGGACAAGTGTCTCCATCCATCCCTTTCCGACCGAAATTCCTCCAACTTTTTATTATCAAACATCGGACGTGTTTCTTGTGTTTTTAAACATCGAATATGGGTGAATACAAAAATTCCCAGACACCATTATGCTCACTATAATTGATGACAAGTAGCCTTTCACAGATTATTCCCTTCAAAACAGAATCCTTTGCCAGATGAATTTGAAGCGTAACCGCTTTTCAAGCCGATCTACACCTAGCGTAATTTGTCAAAATCTACGGCGCACAGTTAGTGCAATATTTATATTCGATTACATTCGATTGTCCGTCTCAAATGTATATATAAGTAATAAATAACAAGTTTAAAAACTTCAATGGGAATTGAAGTGGGTCGGTACGTGATCAAATCTTCTGAGAAGGCCTTCGGCCTTCACAGGATTTGATCACGTGACCGACCCACTTCAATTCCCATTGAAGTTTTTAAACTTGTTATTTATTTCTTAAATAAAATATAGTTTGATGATAGTCTGATTTATTTAATTATTTTTTTAAGAAGCATGAAAAAGTTTTCAACAACAACAGAGTACGTTGTGTCATTTGTTAGGACAATTTTCTTTTGGAATATACAGTAAAACATAGTTATTGAGGAAGTCATGGGGAGTTTTTAGTTCCTTTTAACCTTTTTTCTTTATATACTCACAAGAAAGTGTTCTGATATCAGGGGTTGGGAAAAAAATATATAACATTTTTATTACCGAGATTTCTTGAACCTGAATTTCATATAAGCGAGCTTCACTTTACTCTACTTTAAATCTGCCTTCTAACTTAAACGAATTTTTTTTTTTTAGAGATTTATGTTAAAAGAAGTCCTTACTTTGGCATTAAAAGTTCATGGATTTATATACAATTTTTTATATGGTAAAAAAAATGTAAATTGCACAAAAAGAGATACAAAAGCGATTTCCTTAACATAAGCAACTTTGGAATGTACTATTTTGGTGAATCTCAACATCCGATGAAATTTATGGATTTGATCAAGATACGATAAGTTTTTTTCTTAATCCGATTTATTACTGTGTATTATGAATACAACATGGCTATGTGCAGTGCACAATCTAGACTAAGCCTTTACATATCATGAAAAAAATAAAACGATGTACACGTTAAATTGTGGGACTTTAAACTTTTGTTGCAATGAGAAATACGTGATAAAAATGACAAGACAAAAATAAAGAGTACAACTTATACTAACACTGTTAATCTGGGACTTAAGAATAATGATGGAAACAAAACAGTTGCTTGATTGAAAAGGTTGCTTCGGTCGAGTTCAAGGTTGCAACACCATACTGTGCCGTACATACAAATAAAACAAACTCAAAAATGCTTCTCCAACCCCCTTTCCGTTTTAAGAGGGATATTTTGTACACATGTGTCTGAGCAAAAAGTATTCAATGATTACATAAAATAATTCTTATGTTCCTGCAATGTTTTTCTTATCAGGTATGACGTGTCTGTACATACTAACGATATCAAATCGAACGCGCCTCAACGGAAAAGTCGGATAAAAGCGATAACATTAATGAAGATTTAGCTGTACAAATTAGAGGCGAATTACTGTGGAATCCAAGATATCGAACGCACTCCGTAATATAATTAAACCGCCGCTCCGGTATTTAAGGGAGATGGTCCCTGCTTCTAATGACGACAACACGAATCTTGAAGGGAAATAAAATGTTTTCAGGAATTGATGCGAATTGAATAGAAATGGTTTGTCAACATGGCGAGTCATTAGCAGGACTGAAGGAAAACTTTTTTATTGATAGAGAATATCAGAGAAGACATTTGCCGAAGTTATTCCCCGAGAGATTTTAGTATACAGATTCTAATTTGTTGAAAATAAACCTTGATGAAAAAAGTAAATTACATTTTTTTTTCCATTTTCTTTTATTCCCCTTATTCAAAAATCTCGACGTCCTTCTTGGCAATTAACTGGTAATAAAGCCTTGAGGCATCAACATACTTATCAAAATACAATGATGTTATAATTATACTCCTCATTTAAAAAAATTGAAATAAAATAGTATTTCATTATGACATTTTTGTGAAAATGATACTCTTAAATACTGTAAAATAGTTGGAATCAATTACAATAATAAAAACTACGTAAGAAGGACTTTGCTTATTGTGATCAACCTTAATTTCCAATGGTTAAAAAAAAAAAACATGGGTGGTATTTTGAATTTGAAATAAGATTAAGGTTAAATCGAAGTAATAATTCATGGACATTAGTCTCTTTTTGATAGATATAAATGTGAACGTCAGTATTTATAAGCGGAGGTTGTAAACTGGGAATAAGACTCATCAGAATTAATACCCTAATCCCCCAAAATACAAGGATTCTGAAGTTCTTATTTCAATGATTCTAAAAGTTGGAGAGTAGTGTAATTTTTTGTGAGATGACTGGATCAGTGTTTCATATCAAACACGTAGATCAATGTGACATTGGCAAATATGAGGATGAAAGTGATAAATGTAAATGAAACATCGTTACTTATGCCACAAAATTAAAACATAAACATCATTGAAAAACATTGCAAAAACATCGGGATCAGTGTTAAAAAGACAAACATCGGGATCAGTATTACAAACTTAAACATGGGATCGACTTCATCGGGATCAACGTCACAAAATCAAACATCGGAATCATAGAGTCAAACGTCCTTTGGAATCAGAAACATACAGTTCATTTCACAATATCGACTAAAACCTTAATTGGGATGGATATCAATGTAATATTTTTGATTCTACATGGATGTCAAGTGCTTCAACATCCGTGTAGATATCACATATTTACAGTACATACAATTCACATTACAATGGTGACGAAACTTCATGTCACTAAAGCACCATGGTTTTTTACGTTCCAGATCCGTCCTGATATCTTCTTTACATATCAAAGTTACATCATAGAATGTGCAATTAAAAACACATTGGTTAAATAATGAATTTCTTTAAAGCTTATTAGTATTTTATATGTTTTATTCTGAAAGTTAAGATAAAAAAAAAAATAAAAGTCGTAGGCCCATTCATACCCATCCCCCGAAAATGTAAAACTATCAATTAATAAAGAAGCTTACCATATTACTTCAGCAGTGTTTGTACCTTAACTTTTTCTCTTTTATCCAAAACAAAGAAAAACAAACTTGTTTATCCTTCCCTGCACAACCAACCACAGCGAAGGGCTAATCATAGTTTGTGTTTATCGGCAATTAGTGACAACACATATTAATAGAGCCTTGTTTTGACCAACACGGCGAAATAATATCAGGAAACGCGATAAAACGCTCATAAGAATAACGTAATTAAAGGGGAAGGTAACATTGAACAGGTGTCCCTCTCATAATTTTGGCGGATCTAAGGGTTTATTAAAAGATTTATAGTGTAAAATATCAGCATAAAGTGGCAACTATGGCGGATCCAAGGGTTTTCTCAACGATTTATAGTGTGAAATATCGGTCTATGAGGAGTTGTCAGAGAAGATAAATGATACAGTACAATATGTAGTCTAAAGTGCTTTCTTGATTTTCATCATACACATGAAGAACTCTTCGTGGAGTTATGAATAGTTTACAAATAAAGTCCTGAGCCCGTGGATGGCGGAGAGATTAGTTTTAAAACTGGAATTGATTGGCATTAGAGACTTGTAGCTATCGACCACATGGCCGAAGGAACGGGGGGGGGGGGGCGTGCCCCCCCCAACCAATAATTTTGCCGATATATAGATTACTATTGTAAACATAGATATTATATGCTTGTGCCCCCTTAATAACGTTCGATGACTTTTTTTTTTGCTTGTCAAGGACTTTTTGGTAGTTGATGACCTTTTTTTTCTTTGTTTGTCAGGAAATTTTGGTAGTGCCCCCTCAACTGAAAATTTATGGCTGTGCCCCCCCCCCCCCCCTGAATTTGCTTCCTACGGGCCTGGACCATGCAAAGATCCTAAAGAACGAAAAGTTACTATATCCATTGTAGCCTACTGTAAGTGGGTACTAATTAAAGAAATGATGAATTGAACTGATGTACACATAAGAATTACGACATTGATCTAATGCATGCTTTAATGAATGAATTTAGTGATTTACTTAACCTTCTAATTCTTCTCTTCTATTCTTAAAACTCTGGTGCAATTGTTTCAGTACTTTTAAGTGACTTATTGCCAGCCATTTGAATTAAATGTGGAGATAACGAACAGTATTCAAGCTCAAAAGTCCATTCAAACAATACAAATCATGAGAGAGCAGACAGGGCATGATTATAATGAGTAGCCACAAATCTACCAGTCGCGGTTCGAATCCCACGGTGGGACGTGGAGACCGGTCCTTCGGATGAGACCGTAGGTGCTGGCACGAAAAAGATCCCTCACTGCTCAATGGCCGTAAGTGCCGAGTATAGGTCAAAATTTGTAGCTCTCCACCGGCAAGTGGTGGCGTCTCCATATGAGTGAAAAATTCTCGAGAGGGACGTTAAACAACATACAAACAAACAAAAAAACCAAGATTATAAAATTCATGTCCACTGAGTCCAGAAATGAGACCCAAGAATGAAGTTCAGTAAGAGATATTTTCCTAATTTATTTTACAATGAACCATTGAAAATTTTATTTATTCCTGCATGAATATTTAGCAGGGAAAATTGATGCATTGTACAGTAAGTTATTAGCACTTTACAAACTTTGTGAAATATGTGTCCTCAAGACTAAGGCCCGTGTGTGGGTCAAAGTTGATTATATACATTATATGCTTTATCTTAAATAATCTTTTATACTCCTAATCATGAAGGAACAAGCTCCAAAACCATGGTAAAGAAAGTAGAATCAAGATGTAAAATTCATGTCATATACATGTATGTGTCTTTATATGTCTATACAGTCATGTAATTTCATTTTCAGGTGGAACTTATTTGGTCACATGAAGAACAAATTATGATACTATGGTGAGCGTCAAGGTCCACGAGTCTTGGTGTCTTTCATAGTCCAATCTCTTCTCCTCTACTTAAAGTCCTGAAGAAGTCGAGCGGAGCTTGACTGTTCATCAGTCAAAGCAATGCCGATTCATTGCCTTACTTTATATAGAGAAAAATGTCTCCATTAAGTCCCTGGATATTTAACTCTTCTTTTATTCTTTGGTTGGTGTCTTATAGCTTTTCTACATTGATTGGTGCCCTTTCTTAAAATTTATGACCAATCCATGGAAGGCTTCTCACTGTAATCAAAATCATTCAGGCTCTCCATTCTCGTCCAACTGTGGCTGTCATTCGTGGACTTGGGAACTTCTCAGCATCTTTTCTGCAAAAGGCGAGACCTATATGGATATTGAAATCTCGCATTAAGCGATTAAGAGGCAATATGAAAACCATCTATCCTTCTGTTTTCCACAATGCAGAAGTGAAAGAAGAATTAGATAGATTACACGATCAGTATGCACTGGATCCAGCTGACAAAGCATGTAGCAAAATTGTCTTTGTTTATAAGGCTCATTATTTGATTTGTATTTTAGAGGAACTAGGATTTAATCCTGAAAGTGGAATCCAACTTATGCTCATAGCATCCTTTCTAAGGAGAAAATTCTACAGACCCTTATGTTAGTTTTAAATATTTTTAATATTCCCAACAACCAAAATGAATTTGAATTACCATATCTATACTGGATTCCAAAACTCCATAAAAATCCTCACAAACAAAGATACATAGCGGGTTCCAGAAAATGTTCTACCAAGCCTCTTTCTTTACTCTTAACTAAAATATTTACAGCAGTGAAGGAGAAACTTCAGGAGTACTGTAAAATAGTATATTTCAGGAGTGGTGTAAATCATTTGTTGATACTTAAAACTCCAAGGATCAAAACGCACAACTTTCAACACTTTATTATACAACCATTCCCCACCACAAATTGAAGTCCAGGCTTTTTGACATCATAGACAGTTGCTTTTTCAATAAAATGGAACTTGTAAATATACTTACTTTGTCATTGGTCATTTGCCAAATTATTTTGTTAAAAAACTGATTGTACACACAAGTCTCTGAAATTGAGATTACAAAGATGCTTAAGTTTCTGATTGGCAATATCTATAACTTGACATTTAGATATATCGACGACGTATTATCAATTAACAATAGTTAATTACTTTCATTTATATGTCGATTCGATATATCCCAGTGAACTTGAAATAAAAGACACCACATGCAGAGTCTGACACATCTATTTCATATTTAGAAAAAGACGTTAGTGGTAACCTAATAACAAACTTTATCATAAAAGTGATGGCCTTAACTTTTATATTGTCAAATTCCTTTACTTATGTAGCAATGTATCCTTATCACCTGCATATTGGGTTGGTGTCTTCCCACTTAGCCAACATTTTGAAAAAATACAGGTAAAACACAGGTAAATGTGTTGGCTAAGTGGGAATGGGGTGTAGACTGAGAACAAAAGAAATAAATTACAGGTAGGCTATAGTCTGTTTTAAGCTACATGTGTAAGCCGAATAAAATAATTTATTTAATTTGTAGCATGTACATAAGAACACCATGATGAATATAATATTTTTGTGATGAATTGAGTTTCAGTGCAAGTACAAAAATATCTTTTCTTAAAAGTATAATAATAATTGATATATTAATTACAGTGTGATTTAATTAATTATTTTCAATACTTTACGGTTTTATTCTTCTTTATTGCTGTGTTGTATCACAATTTGTTTGTTTGTTGTTTTTTTTTTTAATTTTTTTGTCACATTTGTAACATCTTTGGCGAGAAATGTTTTTAAAAATATTTATTATAAAATAAATATTCAAAAATCGATCATTGAATATATTTAAATTATTAATCATTATATTCTTTTTTTTTAAAATAAATTATAGCTCAACTTGAATCAAGCCTAGAATTTAAAAGTTTAAATGAAAAAAAAATCCATAATATGCTGCAACATAGAATTAAATATTCAAACTGTATATGAATTTTTTTTTTAAATGTACAAACATTAATTCTTTAGTAAATTTATAGCTTTTTAAACATTTTCCATGGTAGAGTAAAAATAAAACAAAATGACAGGAATCCCCCCCCCCCCCCGAAAAAAAGTTTCATTTTTATAATATAAAATAACAAAAAAGACAGGGTTGTGAATATCAAGGATGAAATTTTCTAAGTTGATTTTTTTAAATAAGATAATGAATCAGTTTGTATCAAAAGATTCTGTTACTGTGTTCATTATCACAGTCGAACATTACATACTCAGATAAATATTTTTAATCACAACTGATAAATATGTGTAAGAATATTTAAAATATTTCTACAATGTAATATACACTTTTATTGGTATCATTTAAAATACTTTATTTCTTAATTAATTTTCAATATTTTCTTTTATCAATATTCAACTTTTAATTTAAAAAAAAATGCAGATTTATATTTATTTTTTACTACATTTATATAAATTAATTCTTTTTTTTAGAACTTCTTTTTAAAATTTTATTTTTATGTTTTGACTGAAGTTTTCATTTGAATTTATTTTTACACTATTTTTTTTTTTCAAAGGTAGTAATTCACAGGTAAAGCACATATACCTGAAAACAGACTATAGCCTGTTGATCACTCAGGTATAAAAATCAAAATGTTGGCTATGTGGGAATAGGATTTTTCAAAAATGTTGGCTAAGTGGGAATAAAACATTGGGTTTATGTCTACCACTTGATTAGATACGCAAGAGCATGCTCTCCGTACGATCAATTTTTAAAAACGGGGCAAGCTATTAATCAACAAGTTGATGAAACAAGGATATCAAAAGTCTCGTTGAAGTCATCATTTCGCAAGTTCTATGATCGATACAATGACGTTTTCAGCAAATACAATCTATCATTAGGTCAAATGGTGACTGACGTTTTTCATACTAATTATAGGGCCATCATTTACACTGAAATTTCTACAGATTTTTCCCTTTACCCGATCATGACAAGGAGCACACGGCGGGTGTGAATGGTCGACAGAGGATGCTTACTCCTCCATTGCACCTCATCCCGCCTCTGATGTTTTTGGAAGTCCGTGTTCGCTCTGCTCCCGATTTGTATTGTTAGAATATTTGAACTTGAATACTGTTTGTTATCTCCATATTTCATCTTTGTACAAAGGAAAACAATTTTTTTTAGAACTTCATT